TTCAATTACTTCAAAGAGATATTTGAGTAATTTGGTCAAAAAAAATCGACTTTTATCACATAAGTAATGTTGCTCAGCGGGTTCGAAAGTATATGCATACAAATTTTTATTATTATTGAATTAATAGTTATAAAGTTATGAATGTTTTTCGTGATTATATTATTTCACAAAATATTTTTATTTTTTTTTATTTGTTTAGTTATTTCAAACAGTAATTTAAGCATTTTGGTCAAAGGAAATCGACTTTTATCGCTTATGTAAAGTTGCTCAGCAGATTCGAAAATATGTGCATATAAATTTTTATTATAATTGGATTAATAGTTGTAAAGTTATGCACATTTTTCATAATTGTATTATCTCACGAATTTTTTTTATTTTTATTTTTTATCCATACAGTGACTTCAAAGAGCAATTCAAGTATTTTAGTCAAAGGAAATCAACTTTGGTCGCATAAGTAAAGTTAATCAGCGGGTTCGATAATATGTGTATATAAAATTTTATTATGATTGAATTAATAGTTATAAAGTTATGCACATTTTTCGTAATTGTTTATCTCACAAATTTTTTTTATTTTTATTTTTTATCTGTACAGTAACTTCAAAGAGCAATTTAAGTATTTTGGTCAAAGGAAATTAACTTTAGTCGCATAAGTAAAGTTGTTCAGCAAGTTCGAAAATATGTGTATATAAAATTTTATTATTATTAGATTAATGGTTCTAAAGTTATGAACGTTTTTTATAATTGTATTAGCAGTCACCAGATTTGTAGATTTATCGCAACTTGTAATTTTAAATTCTGCAGTTAAAATAATTATATTAGTATCTTTTTTTTTTTGTAAATAATCAAATGTAAAAATGTATCAATATTTTTTTATATTTTTAAAAAAATATTAAACAAAATTAATAATTTAGTTTTTTTTTTAGATAGATCAAGTCAGGTCGGCTCAGATCAGGTTGAGTCAAATGTATATTTAATTCAGGTCAATTTTATGTCTGACCCGACCTGACCTTATCAAGTCAGGTCAAGTCAATTACCTGACCTGACTCGACCTGTTCAGAGCTCTAACCAAAAGTTTTAATGCTAAAATAATGCTAAATTATGTGTAATGCAATCAATTACTATTGATTTTTGTAACTTGAGCCAAATTTTTCTGAATCATATGACTGAATCAGCTGAATCTTTATCGAAAGATATTATGCTAAATAATACTAAATTATGTGTAGTGTGACAAATTACTATCGATTTTTGTAATTTAAGTCAAATTTTTACCAAATTGTATGACTGAATATTTACCAAAAAGTATTAGTATTGAAAGAAATTATTTTGACTAGTAGTAATACTGCTGTAAAATTATGAATATCTGCCTGATTAGCTATTATATTTATATTGTTTATATTTATATTAAATAGTTGATCTAAATTGTAATTTTCACCATCAGATATATTTAGTCGAGTCAGCTTGTGTTTCATATTTTGTTAAGACTTGAGTAAGAACTCTTGTCTTATAATTATTATCAATACGAACAATAAGTGCTATTTTATAACGATTTATCTTTGTTGTATTATCATATTTATCATGTATAATAATATCATAAAACTTATATTAAAGTTTATTATACTATTGACTAGTCATTCAAAAAAGTCCAATAAATTCATTGAATAATCCTTCTAAACATAATATAACAATATAATTAGGATCTTGATTGCATAGCTTCATAAGATATAAAAACATCATAGATGTATCAGATTCATTATAAATTCAAATACTTTGAAACTTTTGAATAGTATTATATCAGATTTTTTTTAATAAGGTATTTAGAAAACTCTTTAATAGACAGTTCATATTGTTGTCTAGCATCTAAATGATTATTAGTAATGTATGTTTAATCTTATCCAAAATTATTTGAGAAAAATGTGAATTTAGGAGCTAAATCTATAGTTAGGAGATCATATTGATGATTATGTTTATTATCAAATTTAGTGAGACATATAATATTAGTAAAATAAAGTTCACTTGTTATAAACAGTTTGTTTTAATTGAAATACTATTATAATGTAAGTTGATGTTCTTCACCTTTTTTGAATTATTAATTTCAGCTTTCCAACAGTTATATACACAATGGTAAATAATAGTTTTATCAATAAAACTAAGATCTTTATGATATTTTATTGCAATAAACCTTTTTATTTTGTATATATATTAATATTAATGTCATTATATTCTAATCTTTATAATTATTAATATTTAAGATCATTTCTTTATTATTAGCTAACCTATTAATTTTACTTGTTATATTTAAAAACATTTCAGCTTGCATTTCTTTATTTATAGGTTAAGATAATAATAGTTGATTACAATGATTTTGATATTTAAAAGATTCTTAATAGTTAGAAATATTTTGAGGAACAAGAAAAGTTCAAAGAAACAAGAAAAATATTTATTCAATATACCTTTTAAGTTGCAACATAATCTAACATTAATTTTCTTTAACAAAAGGATTTAGGATAGATAGATTATGATGTAAAAATAATTAAATAGATAGTTGTTAAGAAAAGAAAATGAGTAATTGTAGGTAAAAAATTGAGTGTTTGACTTGTTTGATATATAAATAATTAAAATCAGTAATAGTAATCCAAAATATTATGTCAAAAAATATTACATCATATAACGTGATTTAAAATTAGTCAAATTAATTTATTATGTAATATAATATAAAATACATAATAAAATAAATAAATAAATTTTAATCACGTGACACTGATGATGATTATCACCAATGAAATGAAGTAATTTTCTAATAAAAAATATAGAATTAAAAAATACATACTTTTTATTAATAACAAACATTAAAATACTTATTCATAAATTGAATTTTATAATAAATATCATAAAAGAATTATATAGGAGGTTTTGCTAGAAAAATAAGTTCTGAATTTTTATTGCATTTTAATTTTTGATAATGTTAGACTAAGATACATAAAAATAAAATTTTAATAAAAAATGTTCAGAACCCATTTTCCTAGCAAACTTCCTATATGTATTAATACATAAAGGTTATATAAAATAAATTGGTAAGCTATATATGATATTAACAGAATTATTATTATTTTTTTAAATATATTGTAAAGCAAATATTTATTAAACATTTTCTTAGTACAAAGTAAAAAAGAAAATCCCAAAAAAGATACAGAAAACAAAAAAATAAAGTAACTGCTACCTAGTCTTCTTAAAAATAATTGGTTATCTTATAAAAAGAAATTTAGTTATGACAAATTAAATAAAAGCGAAGGAGATAATTAGTTTCACTGCACTAAAAAGAGGCTATGATCAGTTGTGAATAAAAAAATCAATGTGATGTAAGAGGGTTATTATTACTAAAGCAGTAATTATATAAATAAAGATGGTTCCCATAATTATTTTTAAAATTTTTAACTAATTGCAACTATTTATGAATTTTTATATTAAAATAAATTTACAAGGAGTTACAACTTCTTAATTACTGTGCTATCTTTAGATATAAAAATACGAAATCTTTTTTCTCATAACTCATCCAACATAAAAATACAAATTAATAATTTAAATTAATTTTTACTTGCTTCTCCAAAGAATAAAATGAGGTGTTATAATTATTTAGCTTTATACAAAATAAGATTTGTTGTTTCTTCACTTCAAACTTTAAGTCCTATTCATATGCTGGATAAAAATATTTGCAACCTAACAGTAATGTCAAACTGTCCCTTTCTCCTTATGGATTGCATGTTATTACATGCTTTCTTTTGCTTCATTGAAATGTTAATTTGCTAAGAGACCTCTGCGGAAAGATATGGATATTTTGATAATTTCTTTTGACGCGTAATTTATCTTTATTTTTATATTTAGCCACTTGATTCACTCATCTATGAGTTGAAAAAGAAGAATATTATCTCATTATTATACAGTTAGGATTATAAATGGTAAAGTAAAAAGCATACAATCTCTTTTGTTGAAATAGGTCAACCATTTTTTTAAAAATTAGAAAGTTGGCAAAAATCAATTATAAAAAGTTTTTTTTTTTCGTAAGTTTTGTGATCACTCCTCAATTTCGTTAAAGAGCTTAATAATAGAAAATTTTTTTCATACATAAAATAAATCCAAGCAGTGAAAATTCATGTGCACAAAAGCGCTAATCTAATTTCGAGACACAAAAAATAAATTTGTGTGCATGTTTTTTTTAAATTTATACGTTACTGCATTTAATATTAACTGGAGGCCCATTGCCAAAATAAAAAATAAATAAATAAAAAAAATATTTGATCTGCATTCTTTATGTATGGATACTTACAAAGTGACTTTCCTATTTTTATTTTTCTTTATTTCATCTCGTTAAAAGACATTTATTCAAAGTAATTTTCTTCACCAATTGAAGAATAATTCAGGTAGGATTTAACATTTTGATTAGATATGTCATTTAATTATGAAACTATAAAGGCAAGAAATCAATAGGAACTCGTTATATTTGAGATTTAAATTTTTTTTTTTAAATAACTTTATATATTCTTTAATTTTACAGATTTTATTTATCGTTGTAAATTTTATTTTTATGGAGAAACCAATAGATTGAATTTTCTGAAATTAATTCGTTTAATGTCAATCCTATCATACGATCCATATCCCGTTACTGATTTACATGTACCTACCAATTGATTAAAAATTTTTTACATTAGATTACTTTATCACAAAAATAAAATAGCAATTAAAACCAGTTAGATTCGGAATTTAACATATTAAATTTCATATAAAAATTGCGTATTAAGAAATACATATTCTTTCCTTTCCTTTATTTTTTTTTGAGAGAAAAATTTCCAATTTATTCATAATAAAATAGTCACTTTAAATTATGGGTAATGATAATTCACTTTAAAGGGTAGAAAATTCCAAGTATATGCAAACAAAATCCATCGATGAGAAACTGCCGGACTTGAATCGTTATTTAATGAGCGATATTGACTATGTTGAAGACCATGCAGAAATTATTTAACGGACGTAAGTGTCATTTTTTATAAACGCTTCCACTTGTTATAAAGATTGAACCACATTTCTTTAATTTTTTCTGGTTCATATCAAAATAATTTACTCGTACTAAATAAATCATATAAAATTATATAGTCTATTCTTCCCTGTTAAAACAAAATGTGGACTTTAACGTAATACACGATCTTGAATCATTACTTGAATCACACCCGAACAATACAAAAGTTAATCGAGATGAAAGAGAGATTATTTTAGGACCTAATGGTGGTAAAATTGGGATAGCTTGTCAAGTGACAATGGAAACATTTGGCAGTACAGAAATGACGACTGAAATTTTAAGTTCTGAAATGGGAGTTTCTAAAGAGGAATATAAAAGTATGATAGGAAATGGACTTACAGATGAGTTGAAAGTAACCAGACCCGAATTTTGAATTTTAGATTATGGGCTCAAAAACTTAGTAATAAAATTAATTATATTATTAATTTACCATCATATTGCAATTGAAATCTAAATGTTTTTAATGAATTAATAAATAGTATAATCATTTTCGGTTTCCCTTTCTACTGACAAAGTGCTCCTTAAATTCAAATAATTCTAGTTTAAAAGGTTCATTATTATCGTGGCATAAAAAGAAAGCATCTTTTAATATAAATTACACAACATTTTTGCTATGCATACGATTATGTTTGCAATTCTAGATCTATTCACGTTTCACGGCAATTCATTATTTATTGATCACATTGGTAAAAAAAAAAAAAATGTAACATAATTGTAATGCGTTTAATTGTTTGACCAATATTTTTCGCCTTATATAGTTAAACTTGCGCACAAACCCAACGAAATTAACATATTTGGGAAGAATTTCATTTATAAATAAATTGCTGGCTTTTCCCTTTTTTTTCCTCCATTATTATTATTATTATTATTACTATTATTATTTTGAGAAAAAAATAAAATATTACAATCCAATTTGGCCATATATAAAATAGTCACTTCTCAATTATGGGTAATTATAATTCAAGTTTAAAGGGTAGAAAATTAAAGATACCAAGTATACCAGAGGATGTGCAAACAAAATCCATCGATGAAAAACTGCCAGACTTGAACCGTTATTTAGCGAGCGATATTGACTATGTTGAAAATATACATGCATTTCATTTTGTTAAAAGACATTTATATCAAAGTAATTTTTCTTCACCAATTGAAAAAAGACTAATTCAAGGTGGATGTAAAGTACTTGATGTTGCGTAAGTGAGGAGATCGAATTAACTATTTAATTTGATTAAATCATCTCATGTATATAATTTAATATTAATATTTATTTTTTAAGATGCGGTTCTGGTACATGGTTATTAGATATGTCAACGAATTATGAGAATTCTCACTTTGTTGGACTTGATTTTCAGGCAATATATCCGCAAGAGGTATAATATTTATCGATACAATCAATAATATAAATGGTAAAGAATTAACATGTCAAATAATTCAAATAATTTTAATAGATAAAACCATCAAATTTAAATTTTATCGAAGCAGATATATTGGATGGATTACCATTCTCTGATAATGAATTCGATTTTGTGCATCAAAGTACAATGACTAACGTTTTAAAAAGAAGTCAATGGGATTTCGTTTTATCTGAGCTCATTAGGTATTTAATTTCAGTTTATATTGTAAAAATATTGTGCTTTAATTTTACATCATTGTAAATTTACTTTTATAGAGTAACTAAACCAGGTGGATATATTGAAATATCTGAAACTATTTATACGTTTAATGACTATGGACCAATCATGCAGAAATTATTTAACAGCCGTAAGTGTCGTTTTTTTGCTATAATCTCTTCCATTTGTCATAATGATTGAACCACATTTCTTTCATTCTTTCTGGTTCATATCAAAATAATTTACTTGTACTAAATAAATCTTATATAAAATTATATAGTCTATTCTTCCCTGTTAAAACAAAATGTGGACTTTAACGTAATACATGATCTTGAATCAATGCTTGAATCACACCCAAACATTACAAAAGTTCATTGGGATGAAAGAGAAATTATTTTGGGACCTAATGGTGGTAAAATTGGGATAGCTTGTCAAGAAACATTGGAAACATTTAGCAATACAGAAATGACGACTGAAATTTTAAGCTCTGAAATGGGAGTTTCTAAAGAGGAATATAAAAGTATTATAGGAAACGGACTTAAAGATGAGTTAAAAGTAACCAGACCCGAATTTATGAATATTAGATTATGGGCTCAAAAAACGTAAAATGTATAAATAATTTTTTTCGCTCATTAATAAAATATTTTAATGTAACTTACCATATTGCGGAATTATAAATCATGTGAAAGTGCTTTGACAAATTTTAAGGTTTACCTCTTTCTCCCTTCAATACAAAAATTTCCAAAAACATATATGCATAAAAAAAAAGCCTTTAGTATATAGTAGAAAATATGTGTATAGTTACGAATGTAACAACATTTTGCATTGCATTGCATAAAATTATGTTTGCAATTCTAGATCTATTCACGTTTCACGACAATTCAAAAGAGTTTCACATTGGTAAAAAAAAAAGTTTACACAAAAAATTTGTATATTTATAATGTAATTTCCTTTATCTTTTAGCATCAAAATGTGGTTAATGTTTAAACAAAGCAATATTAATTTTATTTGCCTAATTTATATTAACATTTTAATAGAAACTTCAAATAATAAAAGGGAATTGTGTAGATATTTTCAAGTGATTTTGAACATATCATTTGGTTAAAAGGAAATATAAATCATGGTAAGCAGAGCAGTGTAGAAACTATATACTTTTGACATGACTTAACAATTTGTAAATATTATTATATAATATATCCTGTCAAAAGTTATACTGCATATCTCAAAGTAACTTCTATTCACCAAATGAGATATAATACGAATTTGTTTCCTTTTTTAAGATTTATAACCAAGCTATTAAACAGAGAATTTTTTTTATCGATTTTGCTTGTATTGATAAATATTATTCAGTCTTCTTGGAATGCTGATCAAAATATTTTTAGTCGCCGCATTAATCCTTTAAAAGGTGCCAATAACTAATTCATATTATGTGAAAAAAGCGGTTTAAATAATAATTGCGGCCTTTTTAAAACAAAAATGAAAATAGAAGATTGGATACAATTTAGGAAAACCTAAATATAATTTGCCAAAATTTATACCTAAAATTACAAAATATAAATTTTTTTTCAACATTTCATAGTTCTTCAAAAATCGAACGAATTCGTTTTCTAACGGAAAAAAAAAATTAAAACTGCATTGCGACAAATCTGTTATAAAATTTATACGCCAAATAAATTTCTATTTGGTTTTGTAATCTTACATAACTTTTACCGTAATGTATAAATAGAGTTTCAAATTTTTGATTACAGTTAAACTCGCGCACAAGCCAATCGCCCATTTAGAATTCGAAATTAACATTGTTTAAAATGAGTGTAAACGGTTTCAAAAACCGTTGTTAAGTCCGGAACATAAGTGTAACAAAAGTGACCAATCACGTATTTCGCACGCAGAAATATATAGTCCCTCATTTCGTTCCGGACTAATAAATTTCTTTCTTTCCCTCCTCTTTTATTTTTGTGAAAACAAAATATATATTACGATCTAATTTGTCCATAATTAAATAATTCCAATTATGGGTAATAATAATACAAGTTTAAAGGGTAGAAAATTAAAGATACCAAGTATACCAGAGGATGTGCAAACAAAATCCATCGATGAAAAGCTGCCGGACTTGAACCGTTATTTAGCGAGCGATATTGACTATGTTGAAAATATACATGCATTTCATTTTGTTAAAAGACACTTATATCAAAGTAATTTTTCTTCACCAATTGAAAAAAGACTCATTCAAGAAGGATTTAATGTACTTGATGTTGCGTAAGTGAAGGGATCGAATTCATTTAATTTGGGAAAATCATCTCATGAATATTTTTGATATATATAATTTAACTTTTTTAAGATGCGGTTCTGGTACATGGTTATTAGATATGTCAACGAATTATGAGAATTCTCACTTTGTTGGACTTGATTTTCAGGCAATATATCCGCAAGAGGTATAATATTATCGATAAAATCAATTTAGGTAAAACGATAAGAAATTAACAAAAATATAAATTTAATAGATAAAACCTCCAAATTTAAATTTTATCGAAGCTGATATATTGGATGGATTACCATTCTCTGATAATGAATTCGATTTTGTGCATCAAGAGTCAATGGTTACTGTTTTACAAAAAAATCAATGGGAATTCGTTTTATCTGAGCTCATTAGGTATTTAATTTCAGTTTTTATTGTAAATGTGATGAGCTTTGATTTAACAACGTTGTAAATTTTACTTTATAGAGTAACTAAACCAGGTGGATATATTGAAATATCTGAAACTATTTATACGTTTAATGACTATGGACCAATCATGCAGAAATTATTTAACAGCCGTAAGAGTCATTTTTTTGCTATAATCTCTTCCACTTGTCATAATGATTGAACCACATTTCTTTCATTCTTACTGGTTCATATCAAAAAAATTTACTTAATAAATTTCATATAAAATTATAGTCTATTCTTCCCTGTTAAAACAAAATGTGGACTTTAACGTAATATACGATCTTGAATCAATACTTGAATCACATCCAGCCATAACAAAAGTTTATCGAGATGAAAGAGAGATTATTTTGGGACCTAATGGTGGTAAAATTGGGATAGCTTGTCAAGAGACATTGGAAACATTTAACAATACAGAAATGACAACTGAAATTTTAAGTTCTGAGATGGGAGTTTCTAAAGAGGAATATAAAAGTATTATAGGAAAAGGACTTACAGATGAGTTAAAAGTAACCAGACCCGAATTTATGAATTTTAGATTATGGGCTCAAAAAACTTAATAATATAAACTATTTTTATTATTACTTTACCATACTTCTTTTCTTATCATTGAATCAAAATTTTTTTTAAAAATAATAATCATGTGATGAAAGTGCTTCGACCGATTTTTAGGCTTACCCCTTTCCACAGACAAATGTCACTTAATGCAAATAATTTTCAGAACCATATATTTAAAAGGTTCGTTATTATCATACCATAAAAAGAAAGCCTCTTTTTTTTACAGTAGAAGATTTATGTATAAGTTAATGTTACAACATTTTGCATTGCATACGATTATGTTTGCAATTCTAATATTTTGTATTACGATATCTTAATATAAATTGTTTATACAGCAAGTTAAGTTCTTTAAAATTCTATTTGCACAATGTGCACATGTGCACATTAATTTTTCGTGTGCACATATTATACAACATAAAATGTTCATAAATTATAAATTTATAATGCTGGCCTAAATTTGTTAATACGTTTTTATTTTATAGTTTTACTAAATAAATCTTTTGTATCTCAAAAATCAAAGTACATTTTTTGGTAAATAAGATTAAAAACTATTTTTTCAAGTATTTTAAATTCATATTTTTTATTAAAAAAAAAAAAGAATCCCAGGTATCAAGTTACTTATTATCAGTATAGCATATAACAGTGTTGGGAAATTGGACAATTTGAAGTTTTGGACATTTGTCCAAAATCCTGTCCAAAATCTGTCCAAAACCAAAA